TTTTGAGCACGTTTCTGGCGGGAGAGCGGGAGTTTATTCAAGGTGAGAAAAGTGATGAATTCGGAAAAGCGACATCGAACGTAAAAATCATGTAAGTCCAATGACTATTATTAAGAGATGTGGGATGAGAGAGGAAAAGAAAGTATGTATTAGAATAAAACTTATAGAAAGAAGCTCCGGCGGTTCCAATGAAGCAACCAGAGGTGAGTGTTAGAACTATAACTCGTATCAGAACAGAACTGAACCCTACTCATTCTGAGGGAATGACTAGGGGGCCAAGAAACGTTATGGCGTTATGGACAAGCTGTAAGGGGTGGTTATGGAGGCTTGTAAGGGGAAGAATCCCCATTGGAATTGAGGATGTGTAAGAATAGAATTACCAATAGAATAGAATCTCTCAACCTTCATCTGACACTGTATATTGAGAATTACTTGTCGTTATATCTGAATATTACCAGGCGTGAAACTCACACTTATTTATCTCGATAATGGAAATACCATGATGTAACGACATGCGCATCAAGTTACGTTTACGACTACTATTTATCTAAGAAGCAGTATTCATGAGAATATTTCAATTATTAGAAATAAATCTTTTTTTTAAACATATCAACATTGTAATCAATGGTCTGAAATATAAGTACTTAATCTTCTTGAAGCCACTGGTCATTGTTATTCCATCGAGGGTCCACTAAGATGACTTTGCAATTTATGTTAATATTTGTTATTATGCTAAAATCTAATTGCAATCGCTAGAGTGTCAATGGAATGGCAGTCATTTAATCAATAATAATCGATGTTGCCTTACTTAATGTATGTCGTTTAATCAACAAGAAAATACCGACGTTTGTTCAATACACCGAGTACCTATATAACCAGAAATAGATATTTGTTTGAAAGCCTTACTGCGCTCCGACTGGCCAGCCCGAATTCGAAACAATTGACGGGTGTCGTCAATTGTTTCACTTCAAATCGACCTGTTTAACTTGAGCTTTGCTATAATGGACGAAAAATGAAAAATGACATATTTAATTACCGATGAAATGTGATTCAGTTTGTTTTATAATTAGAGGCTTCCCTATTTTTTACCACACCACCGAATGGAACAGCCCCTCATAGTTAAGAGATATTATCTTTATTACAATGAATACAGAATATTTTTGGAATATACGAAGACTACACACAGTTCAGTTGTTGGCGCTGTACTATTTCAGCTCTCTAATTTGTAATTTCAACGCAAACGGATTTTTTTTATTTTTTTTTTTATTTATATATTTAATGAGATATGATATTTAAAAGTGATACAAGGCTTATTTCCTGATGAGTTGCCAGGGATGGATGACCCTTATTTCATCTCTATTTCTGGTTATATACTCGATGGTTCAATAGTACCTACATAATTAGTAGTACATCAATGGCAATTTCATGGCAAGGTGCCATCGAAAGAAACGTCAATAATTAATAGACTGCTCGACTCGCCATAGAAAAACAGAATACCAAAAAATTGCAATGGCAAATTACATTATTCGGAAGATGATGTATTGAAGGCGATTGATGAAGTGTCTAAAGGAATTCCTACCGCTATAAGATAAATATATGATATCATCGTGAGATATTTAAGTTTAATTTGTTGTTTTTTTGTAATCTTTTAATTTTAATGAAAGTACCTTGCTTGATTCTGGCAATTGTTATTTTAAAAATTTTGTTGTTATAAAGTAATCAATGCAGATAAGTAAGTATGTAACCTTAACATAATGTCCTGTCAAATACTAATACTCTGATCTAACTTTGCCGTAGTCAACCATTGGGACTTGGGACATTAGAGATTTTGTTTTAAGCAGTACTACGTTCCGGTTTAGAAGGGTAAGGGTTCTGGTGAAATTACAGGCACATGGAATTTGTCAACTTATGTCTCAGGGAGGTGGGCGTAATGGCAGTGACCATAAGATCTTTGTGATTTAAAGCTATAAGTGGCACTGCAACTGTTATGGATAGGCGTGTCGTTTACCACCAGGCGCACGACATGTTCGTCCCGTCATTTGGTACCAATAAAATAAAAAATAGTTGGTTTTTGGCAAAATTCGTGATTTTTCGTCTAAAAGCATCAACCATTGGGACATTTATGTTATCACTTTATAAGAGAAAAGATTAGTGAAAAATCTAGGTATTTGTTTAAGCTTTTTAGAATCTAACAAAATGCCTCCTGGTGCCTTAACAAAAGCCTTGTAACGTAGGATAACCTCGCATGAAAGGTGTATAAAAGATTTAGGTTTGGTAACTTGATACTTGCTTGGTTACTAGGTAGTTATTGCATTTGAATACTTTCTTTAAAACTAACTTTGTGACGGTATATATAGCAAACTAAGTTGTTTGTTTTCAGATATATATTTTTATTAAGAGGGTAATGATGTAATAGGTATATTACTGGTTGTAACAATTGATAATAAAAAATATATGTCAATATATTCAAATTAGACTCTTCTACTTCAAATTTTAACAAATAAGAAAACATCTTTCCTTTAAATGTTATTCAAAATTACAAAAATAATATTTACTAAATTCTGTTCTTAGTTCATTTGATACGACGTCATAGAGGGTTGATGATGATAACGTATAATTGTTTAGGACAGGGTTTTTCGAAAGGTATTCTGTACTTTCACAGGTTCGTGTAACGCTTTTTAAATATTTGCTTCTTCGTATAAAAAGATACAAGATAACATGGAAACGTACTTGTACAAAGCAGTTGATTCGGTTGTCAGACGTGGTTGAGTGGTTCGGTCAAGGCGGCGCGCTCGCACGATGTCGCCGGTAGCATCGCTGCGTAATCCAATACTACTCTTCCGGGTTCCATGACTAATTTATCATAGAACTACCGTAGTTGTCGAAATTGCTGGAGTATTGCAATTTAAGATACTAGGATGTGAAGATCGAATTGGTCGAACTAAAAGAAGAATCCAATGGTCAGAAGAATATCCCTGTGTTCGGTGCAGCAATAGATATCGATCCCTAATCGATTGCTTTCCTATCGATTGATGAAATCTATTCCATTGATCGTTAACGGATTAGCCTACAAACGCAGGGATTAAAAAAAACTACGACTCGAATTGCTGCAATGCGATTTCGAGCGACAAGGCATCTCACTGCCACGGTTCGGATAAACATTCGACGATTAAACGTATTTTTTAAACTGGGTAGCGTACACGGATCTTAAAAAGAAGTGTTACACTGCTGTTATTGATAAGAAAGTACAGGAAAAAATACAAAGAAGATTAATATCGCAGGAATGCGCGATGCGGAGCAATTCGCAAGTTGTTGCGATGCTTCGTGACGCGTGGGAGTTCGTAGATTTCCGTGCTTTTGTGTTTCGACCCTTAAAGGCTTCAACTGCAAAAAACCTTTGGTCTTCATGAGGGAGTCATCACATATTTTCAACGTGGAAGCGACTTGAGCTGCTCAGAGAAAGCTTTATATCCACGCAAGAAGACGGCTGCCCCAGAGCAAAGCCTAACAAGTGCTTTGGACAATATTTTACAGGAGAGAAAATAAACACAAAAGGTTGCCCTTAAACAATTTTCCTTTGAATGGAAAAAAAGTAATAGTACCAAATAGTAGTAGTATTCGGTAGGGTACTAGTCGACGAATATATTGATGTCACAAAAATTATTACAATACATATTTTATACCCCTTACTAACTTTGAATATTTATTGATTTATCTACATAAGTAAAGTTACTTTAGAGCGAAAGAGGCGTTGCGCGGTTTGCTTCCGTTCGGACCGCGTCGACGTTAAACGCACGTTTTTTTCACTTTTATTACATGGACTTAAAGATTTTTCTGACCGGTTTAATACGATTCCGTGTGGTGTGGTGTCCGCTAACACTGCTAATATATAACGTAACAATGATCAGCCAGACAATCACACCAAATACCTGGTCCAATCCAGGGAATTCCCTATAATATGAATCTTCATATTATAGGAATAAATGCCGTTGTTCTGGTAGATACCAGACGGGTACTGCTCAGAACAACCAAACAAGAACTAAATTAGAAAAGTTTAGTTCCTGAATTGCTCCTACCGGAAATCAAACAGTGGACCTCCTCATCTAGCGCGCACAGTGCAAACCCTTGATCCACCGGGATTGTTATGAATAGTATGTCTGAATAATAACCTAAATAATATAAAGTGATGACTGATGATAAACGTAATTTACGTAGGGATATAACATCCATAACACCCATAATGGCAATATGATTCGCAATATGTTGATTAAAACGTGCATTTTAACCTGAATGACTGCTTCTTTAAATTAATAAAAAAATCAAAAACTTTGTATTATTCGTAATTGCATTTTAAATGTCACATTGTCTGATAGAACCAGTACATTCAACACTTTTGTTTTCTTTATTACAATATTGAGATTTTGCTAAACAAAGTTGTTTATTATCCGATAAAAATGTACATTCACGATAATGTTATGACTTAGATACTGTTCTATCTATGTCAAATTCCTTCAATTATTTGTTCAACAAGAGATAGGTATTAAAATGATTTAAGAATCACTATACGTGTTTCCAAACTAAATTGCACTAAATATAGAGATACATTTGAAAAGAACAACAATATTACGAATTTTTGTTTGGTTTGAGTGTTTATGTCATTAATGCACGGCTATGTCTAAGAGCGGTCACACACGGCGACGCTTAGCAGCGCAGCGTTGCAATAACGCGTTTGTATCGCGATCGTATCAGTGCAGCTGCGACTGCATTACAATTGTTTCGCTGTTTAAGTCGAGCGTACTTTTTTTTAGGTAAGTTATTACACTGATGGTAAGTTACACTCATGTTCATAATAGTTGCAATGCCACTCAGAGCTTTAAATCACAAAGATCTAGGGGTACTGCCACTGCGCCTGTCCCTTTGAGATATAAGTTGACAAGTTGTATGTGCCTGGAATTTCACCAGCACTTTTACCTTCAAAACCGGAACACAGTAATGCTGACATTACTGCTTGACGGCAGAAATAGTTAAGGTGGCAGTATGTTCTTGAACGAATTCTTTTACAAGGAGCTCTACTGATACTAATGTGTGTAGAGGCAGACGATTTTCGACTGCATCGTTACTGCATCGCAACTTAATGGCTGCAGACGCGCTGCTAAAAGCCGCCGTGTGTAATCGCTCTAAAGTCTAACGTGCCTCCTTATAACTATTCTATAGCAGGATCCTCTACAATAAATATTCTATAGACGCGGATGTCCATTCCACATTCAGAAGTTAATACGACAGTATATTTTTCTGATTTGTCGCTTGCCGGAATAGTAACGGGGAGATTCAAACTGGCCGCGGTATGCTGCTGCAGTGTAACGCGATCTAACCGCGTGAGAAGGTTCCGGGAGGTAACCCTGTAGATATTTTCTTTGCGTAAAATGTGAAGCAAGTCAGACATATTGGTTCCTCCTTCGAAAAACAGCATACTTAAAATTATTTGGCCTGTGGTAGACACTGAAATAATACATAAATGCAATCAGATAGTATAGTGGGCATTATTGAACCAGAACGGGCAAAATAAAAAATGAAGATGTAAGAGGAAGCTTGAAAGCGTGATGGAAAAGTTGCAAAGTATTCGTATGTCGTGGTATGACACGAGAGCCATATACTGCTTTCCTTGTCATAAACAGCGTAATCGACATTTTTCATTTTTTTTTATGACAAGGGCAGCATAGTTATCGGAAGATGTTAAATGTTAGATTGAGAATGGCGTTAAAGGCAAAGAAAATATAGATGATTGCCTTTCGGACTGTTGGTTCCACTCTTGGTTCCAATAGTGGGTCCAGTAAGATTTTGATAGTAGACACTCGTGTCTCCACTACATAACATAGGTGGAACTAATTGTGTGATATTTCAGAATTCCAAGTATTGAATGTGTGAAAGGTGATATGTGTTTATATGAAGGGAGTGAACGACGTTGTGATGGATGATAAGGATGAATGAAAAATGAAAACATACTTCGCCGATCCCAATACTTGATGATATAATTACATTTATTTATAATTCCTTTACTCAAGGAAACGATTGATGATCGTCAATTGTGATTTAGATTCAAATTCAGGTACAACATGGTTAAAGTTTAGACATAATTAGAATTAATAAAGATGACTTACCGATAAGTTCATCGTAAATCTCTAGCATTAGATCGGAGGCATGCTCTGATAGTGCAAATCGCAATGCTTTAAGCATCAAGTCGTTGCGATGAGGTATCGTGACGATAGCGGTCCGATAACATTCGCATGATTCACCACAACTGCACGGGTCTATCGGTTTCACTTTAATTGTCAATGAATCTACGGCCATATCCCACCGCGGTTGTGTTGTGACTCTCATAAAAAATTGTCCAACATCAGATAAAAACCAAATCCAATGATTAGCTGGCTGGGAGGAAAGACAAGTTATGATTAAGTAAACTTTACTTTCAAGTACATCTTGATTCTCTTTTACGAAACCAACAAGAGTGGTATACTTTTCGACCAAGTTCAGTCTTCGCACATAAAACTCTTTGCTTGAGTCATTCGGAATGGTAACAGGTATAGTTGGTTCAATATCCGTGAGATGCAATTCGAACACACCGCTCACTGTGAAAGGTGAGCACACCAGTATATCTGTTTTATTGGGACGATACATGGAGCCGGATATTTTATACTTATGTACGGGGTTCAAACAACTTATGTATCCTACAAGGTGAAATATCATGTAAGTGTCAAATAAGCGTGTTTTGTTATATCCGTGAATTAAAAGAATAGCTCGTTCTTTGTGTACAAATCGAGCAGTAAATTTAATATACAAATAGTTTTTCTTCTCGTTGCCTTCAGGTGGAGGAGCAGCCTTTTCCACGCTAAAATTGTTTTTAGTATTGTTTAGAATTTGATAATTAAATGAAAGCGATTCTTGACCCAATGGGCTTATTGTTAATTGTCTTGTAGAGCTTTTCAAAAGAGGTGGTAGAAATTCAATGGTTTCTTTTGGTTCGTACATAGGTAATGTTACGTTTAGGTGGACTGATAAAAACAACATGTGCAAGAAATTCGGGTTGAAGAAATCTTTAGTTGACAATGGAAAAAAAAACTTGATTTGACTCATGGCATCCAAGATCAAACATGCGTTATTGACAATTCCGTCCTCTGGATTGGATGGATCAATTTCATAATATTGACTAAAATGAGGTATCAGAAATGGACAATGACTTATAAACACAGATATTATAGCGATTCCATCTGAAAGATCTGTGGTTAAATTTGTTACATGTTTGACAGGTTTATTTCGTCTCAGAAATTTATGTTGAATAAGTATACGCTCGTTGTACCATTGAAGTATAACGTCAATGATGTTCCTGGGTTGAGAAGCGACACAAACACAATCAAAGAAACAACTGTCTAACACAAATACTTTGTAGCATTGCAGAATAAAGTCAAACCAGGTTTGTTTGCCCAGTCTGTCAAACATCTGTGGATCGGATATAAGATCGTGGATAAACTGGGCCTCTGAATAAGTTTTTGACGGATGGTTTGCACTGTATTGGACGAATTGATCATACGACAAAAGAAATCTTGCTTGTAACATAAACAAATTAGTTCCACGACCTTTGAGTAAACGTATTATTTGCTTGTATGTATCATGAATTTCAAGGACACATCTTAATGCTTCGTCATTGATATCAACGCTAGAAAATAAAAACAAAACTTTTGTTAAGAAAGTAAACTTTCGCTTTAAACTTTTGTTGCAATAATTAATACAGTACAAATTACATCGAGTATATAACCAGAAATAAATACGAAATAAGGGCAATACATTCTTGGTAATTCATCAGTATCACACACAACAGATACATTACATAAACATCAACTCTCTTTGCACTGAAATATAGAAGCGCCAACAACTGACCTGTGTGTACGTCTCCGTATATTCTAAAAATATTCTGTATTTGTTGTATTAAAGATAATATCTATATCTAACAATGGCGTGCTGTTTCGTTTGGTGGTGTGGGGAAAAACAGCAAAACATCTAATTACAAAACAAACGGAATCAAATTTCATCGGTAATTAAATATTAAATATGTAATTTTCGTGCATTATAGCAAAGCTCTAGTTAACTGGTCGATTAGAAGTGAAACAATTGCCAATCGGAGCGCAGTTACAATATGGCAGAATAGTTTTCAAACAAATGAAATGACATTTCGTCTCTATTTCTGGTTACATACTCGAAGACAAATTAGAACAAAGTGACGGGACGAGGAAATCGTGCGTCTGGTGGTAATCTACACGCCTGTCCATAACAGTTGCGGTGCCACTAAGAGCTTTGAATAGCAAAGATCTAAAGGGCACTGCCACTGTGCCCGTCACCCCGAGACATAAGTTGACAAGTCCCATGTGCCTGTAATGTCACCAGCACCCTTACCCTTTAAAACTGGATCGCAGTAATGCTAATATTCCTGCTTGGCGGCAGAAATAAATAAGGTAGCAGTGCTTCCCAGGACGAACTCTTTCGCAAGGATCTCTACTGCTTTACTAAAAGAAGGTCTCCAATCGTTTCATGATCAAGCAATAGCGTCGAAATATTAGGCTACTCAATAAAAAATATACGAAAAATCTCGTTAAATTATATTATTTTTGGGATGGAGGCAGATATAATTTCCAAAGGGCTATAGTAAGTAAATAAAGTTCTTGATAAATTAACTTGCAGCGGTTATTTGTGCAATTTTGGTAGAATTTTTTTTTATTTTTTATTGAATAACTCATTTTTGGCTACATTACCTATTTATTTTACCTAATGCTGTTTTATTTACCTTACTTTGTGAAGATATTTTGTAAGAGGTCCAGCAATCCTTCGGAAGAAATTCAAAAAAGACACATTAATTCCTTTGCCTTTCACGGAATGTGCACATACAGCAGAAGAGATTGCATAGAATGTGTCAGGAATTTTAGGATGTAAGTCTCTTCGAAACCCTTGCATGAACATCCATTTTTCAAGAAACTGTATGCATATCTCCATATACTCATAAAGTTCTTGTTGTTCACTTACTGGATAAAACGGATATGGGTTATCTTCTTCAGACACATAGGGCTCCATGTGCAACGTTAATAGACAGTTTGTGTAACAGAAGATTACGTCAACTTGAGCAAATGAACCGCATTCATGGTGGAAACCGAGAGTTATATGGCGCGAGTACTTCGATGTACTACGAACTTTTACTGAAACTGTAACAATGGTGTATATCTTTTCGTTTACCTCTTGTGTTTTGATTTCATCGAACGAAACACTTAAACGTGGCTCATCCTTCGCAGAACAAGTAAAACCATCAATTTCACTCCGACCTTCCAGTTTTAGTATTATAGTTCGCGACATTTCCATGTTTAGAGCACTCGGTGGAAATATGATTTGATTCATACTCGTCACAAGTGCCGGTGTCAGCCGTCTCCCATCAAATGTCAGGTTATAATAAGGCAAAGTACAAGCCCTATCTAAATAGAGTAAGGCTACTGCTACAAATCTTCCATGTGCTTTAGGGTGAAACAGCGCACGAAATGATGCTGTCGTATTTCTTTCCAATTCAAACTTAATTAGTGTCTCACTAAAAGTTGATTGTAAATTTTCACTATCTAGACAAACCAAACTAAAGTTGGGCGATAACTTGGACGTTGAAATCGTTACAAATAAAAAGTATCTAGAAATATTTTTCATGGTAAAATCAATACAATTACTTCCATTCGGTTCATATTGTATTTCGAATTTGTCTTTTGAAAGTAGAATCCACGGCACAGTAATTACGCCCGCAATGCGAAAATATGTGATATCCCTATTTATGGACTTTAACCTCACCTTTATGTTATTTTGATATTGTCTGGAAGATAAAGTGTATTTATTACTGAATTAGTAAATAGCATTAGATTAGATTAGTAATTTAAGTTTAATGTGATAAATGATTTGCTTACTCTTCATATGGGCCGATATAGTGGCGAAGTTCTGTCGAACATGGATGCTCTGTAGGGGGTCCGATTAGTCGATTTACTTTAAATGGTATATACATATCGTATTCTCTTCGGAAAACGTCGTATACCTTTACAAAAACTGTTTTCGATTGACTGCCTTCCACATAAAATTCCCAAATTTTTTCTTTATCATTACCTTGTGCTGTGTAGACGCCAAAAATATTTTCGTCATCGGTTTCTACGATTTCGACAAGTAATTTCACTGGACCTGTATTTTGAAATATTACCGGAATATACGCTATCATACCACAAGGTATACGAGGCAAGAGTACATGTTTAGGATGTGTAATTAATTTCGGTTCGACTACATTACCACTCAGCGCCAAAGTAACATTTTCCTTGTTATTTATTTTCACTACGATTTCGTGATTGAAATCGAGTATACAAGATATTTTTACTGTAATATCGAACGTTATTACCATCTTCGGGCATATTATTCCACTCATAGGCTTGATGGTCATTCCCGGCAACAATGGCTCTACGACATAGAAAAGAGCAATTTCTCTAGAAGAATTTTCCATTCTAGCCTTTTCGGTACATTCCAAGTTTAGAGCAATATCTTTGAAATATATTACTGGTTCTAAAAATTTTATGGATAGTTTTCTACTCATTACATTGAGCTCGACTGGAATAATTTGGGTTCGAAGGCCTTTAGATTGACATTGAATTTCGTGAACTTTGGTCTTTGTGTGTTTGCAGACGTATGTGATATCACAGAACTTGCTTTTGTGTTTAGGAACAGTACCGGAAGTAGGTTTAACTTCAAAGGGAGTATCTGGATGAAACTCTGCCCATTTAAAATCAATGTCTACATTATATGTATTTATTAATTTAATTGGCAATGAAGTGATAAACGCTTCACTTGTTACCATACCAAACTTTAGAATAGTATCTGTTATGATCAATTCAGGATTTCCGACGTCTAGAACGTATGGATGTCGTCTTTCATATTTATTATCAATTGTATATAAGAACGTTCCTTCTAAGTTTCCTTCCATGCCACCGTAACATAGAATATTAACTACGGTGGTTGACAATGGACCAAGACTTAATTGTAATTTATGTAATCTATCATCAGTGTAAACCACAAAGTCATCACATAACAGTTTAACTATGACATCAAATTTAGATTTGTTATTTATAACCAGTTTGTGCTCACCATATGTGTATAGTGAAACACGCCCAAAATCTATCATATTTGGAGAAAAAAATATATCAAATAATTCTTCATTTGAAATCGTTCTTTTAGAAGCTTCGCAAAAATATCTGCCTTTAAGTTTAGGAACTTTTAAGGATGTATTGGAGTAGCACTGTTGCCTTTTGCAGCTGATTTTTTCAATAGCATGCGGTTTTACCCTTCTTGCGTCTTGCAACTGTTTACGAGCGATCTCTTTTCTTTTTTCGTTTGTTATTAATTCTTCACCTAAGAATGTGTAATAAGCATGAGGCTCATAAATATTCTGCAAAGATTTCACTACCACTTCCCTTGATTTTTGCTTACAAATAATACGAGCTTCAATTGCAATAGTATAAATCAAATAATTATCATCAGGAGGAGGTTCATAGGGAACGTCTAATTTAACGACGTCGTGGGGATTTCTGATATTAAATATAAGTTTTTTTGTCATAACCAGACTAATTGCCCTACATGTAACTTCGATCCGCTTGGAAGAATTTGGAGGGATGGTAAAGCATAGTGGCGACACTGTAAATCCAGTACATTTTGTGCTATTCATTTTTACAGCCATTACTTTAGACTGATTATGAATACGAATATACCTAGTTACTACTTCATTCAATACCAGTTCATCAAAATTAACGACGTTTGGATAATGGACGATTTTATGATATTCGTATTGTCCACTTATGTAGTAGCGGCCGACTTCTGCGTGAGACTCATCGTTACAGCAAAAAATACCGTGAGTTTTTATAAGACGTAAATCAAACACAAATCTGTTTCCCATATGTTTCTTTTGTCTCACGGCTCTTGAAATGCATTCGTTAATGGGTTTAAACGTAATATCTAATACGTGACTGTTCACAGGTGCGAGAGTAAACGCTCTGTGTGACGCAGATATTTCTCGAGCACTTTCGAATTTCTAAGGAAAAAATGTTAAAAACAAATTTTTTAACATTAATAAAGTTGTCGTGGTATCATGTATTAATTAATGAAACACAACGTTGAGCGATAGGAACTTACCATCAGTTTGCCATCACATACAGTCCTTATATATGCAAATTTGTTGAAATCCACTTCTAAATCCAGCTTCTGTGAAGTGGACAGCCCAACAATAGACGTGGGGAATTCGATTACCCTGAAATGCTGAAAAACTGTGTCCGGGTTATACATCTCACAAATTGGTTCTATTAACGACGTCATGGCTAATAAACTAATACGCTAATAAAATAAAATTACTCTAAAATTAGAAAATTTCAAAAATTGAAACCTTGTATTACGTTTACAAAATTTCTATTTTTCTTTTTTCTTCTATCCATAGAAAACTGCGACAGAGAACCATAGCTAAAATCTTAGCAGCAAAATATAGTTGATAAAGAGAATTTACTATAACTAGCCTTTTATTTTATTTCTTCTTTAAATCATTAAAGAGGCTTCCTAATTCAGAATTTCCTTTCTTCTCAGTGATAGCCATTGAGTAGAGTCGAAGTGTGCCCGCGAACGAGATAACCTACAGGCGTTGGCGTAATATTGTAGATGGATGTAAGCACCGGGGGTGTGTCGTACGACTCCGGCAAATTAGTTCGGGGCGGGAGGGCCCCGCGCGTCGCCTGCGCGCCGGTCGCCCAAGGGTTTATCAGATTCAGGGGGTAAAAAATGACTTCTCAATGGGAGGGAGGAGGGGGAGGGGCTGGGGCGTGGGCGGCACCGCCACGTGCTGCGCCTGACGCCCGGCGTCGCGGCGCTGTTGCCTACTTACACCCGTAGCTAACCCGGGACCATGAGCAGGTGCTTGCTTAGTGTTGATTAAACATCCGATGCGGGATGCTAAGCTCTGAAGTGAAAGTTACTTGTTTGCAGTGCAGTTTTCGGACGTAGTAGTGAATTGATGGAGACATACGCAGACGTAGTAGCAGATTGCGAGAGGCGCGCTGTGCAAGGCTCTATGGACGCAGCTCTTGACACCATGCACCAGCTTGACCCACCACCACCTGACGTGCTATTAGCGCTGCTAGCTCGGAATAAGGCTTTGGAAGGTAAGATATGTAGCTAAAATAAAGTATTTTGTTTAATCATTACTAACAACAAATTAGTACAGTGGGAGACAGATCATTCGGGATAGGTACGGTATGGGTATTCTTGTTGTGTCAGATTCCCAATAGACATGTAAAACATTGCGTTTGGGAGATCAAAACTAAAACCATACTTATAATCTAAAAGCCGTGACAATTTAATAGTAACAACAATGTTAAGGGGTTCAAATCGCAAATGTTTTTTGTAATGTTCATATCGCATGGTAATAATTATGTTGCCGTCGGCACGCGCCGCGGCTTCAGCGGCGGCGGTAACGACACGCGGCGGCCCGCCCGCGAACTACCCTCATACCATCACTTTTTCCCTAGGCCTTACGCCATACAGCTCCGAGTAATCAAGTTAAGTGCTCTTCAAAAGTACAGGAGCGTCGATGAGCACTTTTCGATTTTAACACCAGACAAGCCGGCTATTATTTTGATGAAGCCACACTCTGGAAATTGTATCAAATACAATATAATTATATTTAATTATCTTTTCTTGCTCGATCGATGAATTATAACTTCAATTGGCGACAAAGATAATAGTCGTAAGTACGTGTGACTGTAATTGCCTACATGTTATCCTCAAGCTCTTTTAGTACTTACGAGTTTGGCAAGCCCGTGACTGAAAAGAAAAAAAAATATTTTAAATTATACTTTATTTTTCTACGTAATCTCCTTTTAGCTTTATACACCTTGACAACCGATATTCCAACTTCTTCAACTCAACCCATCAAAAACATTTTTTTTGTCAATGTTTTGTCAATTTTTTGTCAATTTTTTGTCACTTCCATATTTGATGAAAATCTTTGTCCACCGAGCCATGTCTCATATTTAGGAAGAGGTCAAAATCGGGCCAACCCGTATAACCGCGGCGTAACCGTAATTGCAATTGCAGAAGAGAAACGGAATACTCGCAATTTCGTATCTCCATATTCAAAAAATATCCCGACCTCACCACTAACCTTTATTTTTACTAACAAAGACCTCAAAATTCGAACTTTTTTATTTCTATTTTCTTTACTTTCGCGATAATTAAAAAAAAAATAGTTACACACAGCTAGGAGCTCTAAATTAAGAAGTGAAAATAAGTTCGAAAATAGTTTTTATTTAACCTTACCTGTACGTATATGTATACGTACAGGTAAGGTTAAGGTTAAATAAGATATGTATCTTTACATGGAAAAGTTGTTTGAAATAGAAAATTTCATTATCTACGTATAAGTAATCTTATGTTCCCACAATATATAGCTTAGAAAATAATGTGTAGTATGTATAGGAACATTACAATACCGATTATAATATTGTTTTGGATCTATTACCAAGCCTAAGCCGTGATTATATAGTTTTGGGGAGTATTTAGCCGGCGGCAACGGGGCAATGCAGCGGCTCGTGGCGGTGTGCGTTGGGTCACTCAGCAATTATTATTTAATCGAAGTATGGCTAGTATTAAATGAACTCTGACATTTAAACTATAGCGATATCTCTTGTTGGCATAGATTTGAGTTATGTGATAAGACTAAGAAATGCACTGCAGCGTCTCCTGCGAGTTATAGTATACAACTTTCTTTCGATCTCCTTCCTACCTATTTGGAACTAGTGATTGGGGCCAATTCTAGAATTTTAAGGAGTTTAACAGTAAATTATTACGACTAATATGGACTTGAAATATACTATATATATAAAATAGACATTATTTTATGCCCTAATATTACCTTGGTATATATATTTTATTTAATAGAACTGTCATTAATTCCACTTTTACTACTAAATTTGAATAATTCAGGAGCAGTAGAATCTCCTTGTAAAAGGAGTTCGTCCAGGGTAGTACTGCCACCTTACCTATTTCTGCCGCCAAGCAGTAATGTCAGCATTACTGTGTTCCGGTTTTGAAGAGTAAGGGTGTTGGTAAAATGACAGGCACATGGGACTTGTCAACTTATGTTTCAGGTTGACGAGCGCAGTGGCAGTGTCCCTCAGATCTTTGCGATTTAAAGCTCTGAGTGGCACTGCAACTGTTATGGACAGGCGTGTGGCTAACCATCAAGCGCACTTCTTGTTCGTCCCGTCACTTGATATTATAAAAAAAGAAAATACACGTCAGAGTTCTTTATTTATAAGCCACACTAAAAACACTTAGTTGGCAGCGGTAGCATTGTTATTTAGGTTATTGAATGCGTACGCGCATATGAGGAAACAATCACAATACGACTGAGCTACGCTAATCGTACCGTGGGATCGTAAGCTAAGACCATGAGGTCTCATTATGAATTTCTATGGAAAAAATATTACTTACATTAACAACTTTCATTTTTTTAATGTACGTGTGAACCTTAGTTCCATTGTTTAATTCTGTATTGATCATTATTGAACATGTTAGCCCCATTAGAAAAACAATATCGTTGGTCCGGATGAACAGGGTATTATCTCAAAAACACAGATTTTTTAGGAGAGCAATTTCAAAGTTTCTTCTAGCATTATTTCAGCCGCTATTGTTATTTGTTTCTTCACCTATGTGTTTAAAACCATTACACATTTAACAGTTCGAATATTTCTTATTCTTATTCAGTACCGTAGAATTGACAAAATCCTGAAATTGTTGAGGGAGGTCTATAATATTACTACCCTTTTCAACATAACATATTAGCGATTTAGTTTTAACTAAACAATAATACTTTTAAACGAAAGAAACAATAATATTCATTCGATAACACCTCGAGGCACTTAGTAGAATCTCAAAAAATTACTCTATGAAAAAAATATCCCATAAAGATATTACCCTGAAATAATTGTCTTCGTTTTAGAAATAAATATTTTTAAAATACACTTACCTTATAATGAACGCATGCTGGGTTTTAGTTTTAATACTCTGTTCAACGAACGATGACGTCTTGATAACTACAACTTCGTGTGTAATACTGAATACGACTGTGTTGCGCAATATTTGGTGCCTAAATTAATATACTAAATAACCTACTTCTATCGTAAAATTGTTCGAAGAGAAGTTACGTTTAAACGTAAATAAAGTCCCCTTCATAATTTCATTAAAAAAGGACTGTGAGAAAATGACAAAGCAAATGTTGTCCAAGTGTTTTATAACTAGTGCGGGAGTGGAGATGTCTCCTATTATATTATCGCATTAGAACCGGAAGAGGCGCGTGTCGCTGCGCGTGCGCCGAATCGCTTCCTTCCGGTTACGGTTACCGCCAGTAGTTTGGGTTACGAAACCTGCCTTTTAATTATCATGTTCCATAGTATACTATTACATTTTTCCCATTTCTACTATTTTTGGATTGCTAAGCCTTTTAGTTTTATATAGCTTGTAGTTTTCACTAATACAAAACAATGAAATTAAATAAAAATAAAATTTATTTGCTTAAAACATGGTGAATATAAGATGGAAAACAGTTATTGTAAATGAAAAAAAAATAAATAAAATGAAATCGGCTTTATTTGGCATGCAAAATACATAAATTTCAAACATTAAACAGAGAAAAGGCAAAATGCAAATTTTGATTTAAAATGAATTGAATTATAATTCTATTATTGAACATGCACAAGGAATAATTAGTCAATTAATACCGATGCAATTAAATCTTTTTGTACAAAAAAAAACCGAACTCAAAAGTTTGTGGAACAATAATTTTGCCAGGTTTTATTGGAAACGGTTAACTACGCAGAGGTCCCGGGTTCGATTCCCAGGCCGGGAGAAGTATTTGTATTGCCTACAATTACTTCTCTCGTGAGTTTGCGTGTAACTTGTGATTGTTTATGTGTGTCCATGGCACCTAGGATACAGAGTTTCCCTACTGTGGGGCTATGAGTGTGTTTAAAAAAAATACAGTCGAAGTGAGAATCTCCTTCTTTTTTGAAGTAGGTTATGAATAATAATTATAAATGTCATACAATTAAATATAGTATCTATAATCAAGTACTCATTTCATGTCAACATTAGATATCAGTCACTTTCCAATAATTTTTGTCTTTGAGTAAGTCTATTTCTAAATATATTATTTAGTAACGTTTTAATGTCCTTTGGTATACCATTGACACACATACTTACCGTTGCATTAATTTTTGTTAATCAGCCTAGGTTTATTATTATGGATCAGTCTATTTGGGTTCCTTGCACTTTCTTCATGTCTAATTTTTTTTAAAAGGTTTAGATTTTGCTTAAGAAACCATGTCATTTTAAAACTGTACATACACGGCAACGGCAAAATCCACAACAAAAGTACATAAGATTCACGTGGCGAACAATTGTTTTGTTCAACCAATCTTCGGAACTAAAACTAATTATAGAATTAGTAGACCTTCTTGTGAAGGAGTGCGTACATGGAAGTACTGTCCCCAATCAGTAATGTGAGTTTCGGTTTTAAAGGGTTTGGAAGGGGGAGCTGGTGAAATTACAGACACATGGCTTGACTTGTCAATTATGTCTCAGGGTGACGGGCGCGGTGACAGTACCCCTCGGGTCTTTACCATTTAAAGCTCTGAGTGGCACTGCAAATGCTATTTAACTGCCTGCGTGACCGAATAACTGCCACGCAGAGATCCCAGGTTCGATTCCCGGGCCGGGAGAAATATTTGTATGGCCTACAGTATTTATCTCGTGACTTTGGGTATAATTTGTGGTTGTCTAGGTGTGTGTCCATGGCACCCGCGATACAGGGTTTCCCTAGTGCGGGGCTATGTTGAGTGTGTACGTCTTTATTATTATAAAAGTGAATTTAATTAATTATAATTATTTATAGGTGTGGCGGTTACCATTAGGCGCGACATGTCCTCCCGCCACTAGGTATCATAAAAAAAATCAACGGACCAATTTAGTAGTCTCCAAATACTTTTAGGTTTCTTGATTTATATCATATCTGAATTGTAAATCTAGATTAATTATATATATTGCTGGAATATGGATATCAAATATGGAGCCCTTATTTCCAAAAAGACATAAACCTTCTTGA